TGCTAGATAAAACGTGTGCTGTGTACTTTTGTTTTTACTATTTAATTCGGTAATTACAAGAACATTACATGAATCTACACGAAAATTGTTTTTAAATTAATATTGTTGGGGAATTATATGTTTTCACCGTATTTATTGCGATTTGGAGTAGGAAATATGTGCATGGGGGGAAAGTTGAAATATTTGCCCTACAAGTAAAACACAGACTTGCTCCCAGCAATTTACTTAAACAATAGGATTCGATTAAATAATTAATCCCACAAAATGTCCACAATATTTAAATGTATTACCTGTGTCTGTGTGCAATATGTAGGAAATTTATTAGTGTCCAAAACGTAATCACCAATGTCATATCACTTCACACTCATGCAATATTATAATCACTTCTATGTCTCTTCGCGATTTGTCTGTACTTATATACATAGTTTAAAAATTGAGATCAAAGCCTTGCTCAAAATAAAGAAGCATACTAAAGGCATTTAAAGCATTTGTTCAGCCTCATCATAGCTGCTTGAGGAATACAATATTCACCAAGCTCGAAAGGTGAGGTGGATAATTTACCTTGAAGGTTGCCAAATCATCGTTTTGACTCAAAATAAGAAACACAATGGCCTTAGTTACCTGAGTATAAGATAACAGATTAGAGGATCCATACAAGTATAAAATCAACTGATAGATTAAGCGTTGTTACCAAAAATCAAGAGTATTGGGATGATTAGGATCAAGGAAACATTTAGTTTTGTATTTATAAGTTGTACTTCCCCCCATTTATCACTATCACCAAGCAGACTATTAACAAAACAATAGTTTTTCAATTCCATATTTAACCCATATTTTTACTTCTCACATTAGCCTTCTCTGGTCTTTGCAGAACATTCAATAAGATGAGTTATTTCTGTCTCTTTTTTTATTCATTTATTATTTACAAGTCTACCTGATCAATAAAACTACGAAGGTCCTTTTTGTATTATACAATAAAAGTTCTACTAGAGTTTTCTTCTATTATTCTTTCAAATACAATATATATAGTGATTAATTATCAAAGGTTAATGTCGGAGGGGGATATTTTCTCTCTGTACAATACAAATTAATTGGGCCCTGACCAGCACCATGCAGAAAACTTGACCAAATGGTCCAAAATATCAAAATCTGGTAAAAAAAAAATACCCTGGCTTAGTTAAACCTTTACTCTGCCTCCAAGATGTCCAGTAGCAGAGAAAATTTACAGAGGAATAAGGCATTTTCACTGTAGATTCAGCAAAGCCTCACCCTAACACAAGAACCCATGACACAGAGTTTTGAAATTAATAAATTTGGAAGAGGTACTCTTCCTCACCATAAATAAGTACTTAGTTTTCAAAGAATACAAGTATTAACACATTTTCACAATATTCTCTTTAGCCCCCCCCCCCCCCAAAAAAAAAAAAACAAACAAAAAAACACCAGAACCCTTGACCCTTTGTCCACAAATTTTAAATTTTCTGGAAGAAGCACCTTTGCTCATCATAACTATGCACTTTGTTTCTTTGCTCAGGCCCAGGAGCAGACATGTCTTTTTTAAATAAAATTGTCGCATGTTTACTTTATTTTCAATAGAGTCCCAACCTTACAGTAGAATGTTTGACGAGGAGCCATGAAACTTGAAGAAGCACCCTTGCTCATCAATACTATAAACTTAGTTTCTTTGCTTTATAACCAGGAGCAGAAAAAACCAAAGAAATTATCTATTTTCACTATATAAGCAATAGAACCAATTCCTTTCATCAGAATACCCGACCCAGAGACCGTGAATTTCACCAATTTAAAGTAGGCATACTTGCTAATCATAACCATGCACTTAGTTTGTTTACATAATACTCAAGAGCAGAGAAGAATATTTTCTAAGAATTAATGCAGTTTCACTATATAATCAATAGAGCCCCCTCCCTTCAACCAGATCCCTAAATAAGAGTCCAAGAAATTCACAATTATGGAAGAGGAACCCTTGCTTATCATAACCACGAACTTAGTTTTTTTTACATTCATGTAATACCAAGAGCAGAGAAGATTTTTTAAGAATAAATGCATTTTCACTATATAATGAATGGAGCCCCATTTTACACCAAAACTCCTGACATAGAAGCCATAAAATTCACAAATTTGGAAGAGACATCATTGCTCATAATAACTATGCACTTACTTAGTTTGTTTAATACCCAGGAGCAGAGGAGATTTTCAAAAAAATATTGCACTGTCAATGTATAATCATTAGAACCCCCCTCCTCCTGCAGACCCCTGACACCGTGGACAAAAAAAATCCACAATTTTGGAAGACGCACCCTTTATTATCATAACAATGCACCTAGTTTACCTACTTTATATACAGGGGAGAGAAGAAGATTTTTCAGGCATTCATGGATTTTTACTATATATGTTCATTAGAGCCCAACCCTTACTCCAGAACCCCTGACCCTGGGGCATGAAATTCACAATTCTGGTATAGGACGTAATGCTTTTACATGTACAATAATCCAACAATTTGAATGCCTGATGTCCAGGAGTAAAGATTTTCAAATGTAACACTAATATTCATGGTTTTAGCCCCACCCTTAAGGCCCCAGGGGAATAAGGACCATTTAGTTCATAATTTTTGTTCTTTTTTACTCATAGATGCCAAAAATGGCAGAAATTAGTTAAGCAGTTCCAGATGGACGCCGCAGGACGGACGAAGCACAACGCACGCCGACTGATGAAAATAGATAGCAATAGGTCACCTGAGTGACTCAGATGACCTAAATAAGAGAGATAATTGCTTCGTTAATTGATTGAATTAATAAATGATAAGAACGCTCTAAGTAAACCCTGCCGTCTTTCTTTTTTACATTTGTTAAAGTCACCCAAACGCAGTGAAAGATAAAGATACGGGGTTAAAATGAACACAATAAATGGCATTGAGATGTATAACGAAAGGATTATTTCATTTTAAACTAGTTAAATATTGATTGCTAGATAACGATGAGAGTAAAATGAACCAAATTCACATAATTGATAACATATAAAAAGCTGGCCATTTGTCACCTTTATTTTTTTATTTTTATTTTTTTTTTTTTTATGGTTATCTGCCCTTGGTGAAATGAAGGAAAAATATTAATTTTGTCAAAATACAGTGGTAAAAGATTCATTTCATTTCGTATTTTAATAAATGAGAGAGTTCGTGCATATTTTCACCAAAAGATTTGTATGAAGTTTAAATTACTTTTTACAATATCTTAATAACACAATGCGCTGCCCATAGACTTCAATGTAAAATTCAAGGTGCAATTAATTGGACAATAATGAAAATTTGAATTTCCTATGGGGGAGTATTTCTATATGATAACACCTTCAAAATGCTACCATGATTAAAAATATCGGGACCATTCATTTATTAGGTAGAGAATATGGTTGTTATACATTGAATACCTTAATTTTGAATTTCTGAATCTATTCTTTTTCTCTTTTTTTTTTTTTTTTTTGGGGGGGGGGGGGAGTTAGAAAACGCTCTATGTCAGGCACGATGCATTGATGTTGAAAAAAGTTGGAATTGAAAAAAAAAAATCTTTGAAGATGCCCCCCCCCAAAAAAAAGGAAAATTTCGACCTGGGGGGAGGGGGGGGGGTTGCTTTATATCCATTAATGTACAGTGTTGTAAGATTTTTTTCTATACTGTATTAAAAAATCGGCGGAGGGGGAAATCAAACTTTAATGGACATCCAAAACCTAAATTAATAGTAAAAATTTTTAAGAAAATAAGTGGGGGAAGGGGCAATGTTCCCCTCCCCAATTGTCTGTGTCTGGATATTATGTTCACCTAAGTATATGTGAGGAAGGTGAAATAACTTTTCAGATCTTATTACATAAATTTACATGTTCTCAATTTATTTTTAGTCTCGCAGAAAAAAATCCAACATTAACCCGGAAGGCCACGTGCACTTAATTGATCATAACTTACTTTTGTTTTTCTTTCTACAATGTTGGATAGCAGCCAGTTAGAGAGTTAGAAATTATTTAATCATGTTAAAAACAATAAATGAGACATTATGAAACATGACGAAACTTTCCCTATATCAGGAGGCTATGAATAAATTAAATAAAAATACATTAATTAGAAATAAGAGCACTTGTATTTAATTTTGTATATGTAAAATTCTTGTCTAAGGGTTTATATCCAAAATTAGAAAATTATCCCAAAAAATATTTCAAAAGAACGTGAAGAATTTGATTTAAGATAATTTTAAGTTACTTTAGGAATGACTCTAATTCTTGGCCAAATTATTCGAGTATAACCTGGTTTGGGTCAGTTTACGCTTTATAATCCGCGAAGCGGATTATAAAACAGCGTAAACTGACCCAAACCAGGTTATACTCGAATAATTTGGCCAAGAATTAGAGCCATTCCTTATAATTTAATTTTAAAATCATTAAATAACTAAGGGTGTAAAATTTCGTTGCTTTTTATTAGTTCAAATTTGCCGCTCAATAATACAACCGTAGTAACGGAAGTGATGGGAAGCGAGGGGAGGTAAAAACTGATGCATAGACCTAGCGGCAGTCTTGTTGTTTGTTTACATGTGGTAAGATCGAATTATTGTTAAGTTAAAGGTACATTTATTAAATCTGGAATTTTCCATGAATCCCGAGGACTGGAAATGAGAGGATTGTATGGATACAGATGATTCAGCTGGTTGTCAGGGGGGTGTGTCCCCATACTAAACCAGGTTATACAGAAATAATTTGTGTTCCTTTTTGGATATTAACCAATCAGAGGCTAGAATACAAACAAAATTAAATTATTTTCTTTTATCTTTGACATCCAACTGTTTATCAACATTTTCACATTTATTTGTCTCTACTGGACTGGTATTTCTTGAGATCAGTTTTTTCTATAAAATTATTATTTATTTTCAGATATTTATCTCTCAAGATAGAGATCCAGCCTTTTATTGGAACAAATACAAATGTCCCCAGCACTCAAATTTGGTTTAAAACATACCATATACCTCCACTTCACATAATTCATTATGTGCAGTCTTTGAAAATTGATCAGCATTTGGTGATTCCTGTGGTCGTTCGTTGAAATATATGACATACTGTCCATGTACAGGGCAGGTAATGTTTTTAACAGCGGGTATTGTGGTTTTGTTGTAGATTGTGTCGTGGAAACATAGATGACCATATCCAATGTCCGTTGTGTTAGATATATAAACATAAAATCCCAAAAACCTAGCTGTGTAGCCATTAGAATCATCTAAAATAAATAAAAAAAAGTTATCATAGCATAGCTTTAAAAGCAACTTTTTTTTTCCAAATTTGGTATTAAGGAAACTATTTTGTTTCCCCGTGAAAAATCAATGATAAATGTTTAAACTTAAATGGTATTTTCTTAAATAAATGGACAAATATATGTACACAACATATAGGGCACAATTACATGTCGATCGATCTTCAATTGTGCTGTACTATGTGTACTTATAACATCCGGTTAGGATTAATGTCCAATATTTATGAATTGCTGCAATGATACATAAAGGATGCATTCGGGATTTAAAAAAAAAATGACCCACAGGTGAGCACGATTTCTCGAAAAGTATTCGAAAATCAATGTTCATTTGTCATTTTCTACCGTATTTTTACAGTAACTATATATTCTTAATTTTTCAAATTTGCGTTTTGACCTAAAATTAGATTTTCCGATTTTTAAATTAGTCCACCCTTCAAAAATTATGATATTTTGAGAAATTTTGACCTATGGACCGTTTTAAAGACAATTTTTTAGGGGCACCTAGGCCCTGGGGATGAAATTCACGAGAAATTTTTAAAAATGCGGAAACCTGTTTTGATCATGCTGGTTCAAATTTATTCCAGATGTTTACATAGACAGTATAGCTCAGATCATTAGACTGTTGACGCTCATTTCCAGCATTTTTGATGTCCTGGTTCACATTCATCGGTTGGCACCCTTATACTGTTTTACAATTTTCGCCTGTATAAACACCATGATTTATTTAATTTTTTTATTTGTTTCTATACTGGCTTATGTACTTTATTACAATTATCTTGCTTAAATGCATTTGGATCTTGGTAGAAAAAAAAACATTTATGAGAATGCATATAATGAATTCTCTGTAGTAAAAGCAATCAACCAGAACTTTACCTCAGTGTATGCACTCTTTATTCGAGGACTAGAATCCTTCACTCTTTGTCACACCTCCTAGCCTAATTAGCATTAATCGGAACATTTGGGAGATACACATAGTAAAATATTAACAAATTCCGTAAACATCCGAACAGCTTTCACCACGAGATTTAGATGAGACCAACATGCGAGACGTGAAAATCGAAAGGAATGTTCAACTCAAAGAAAGTGGTAAAACTTTATGTTTTAAGTACAAGGTTTTTAAATAACAAGAAGTTGGAAAACAAATGTATATTATGGATGAAGTATCGCATTTTGTAATGTTGTATTGTACATGAAAATGTCAAAACTACCTTTCGATTTTGTAAACATTTTTTACGCGTGCAAGGGAGCAGATGTGTCGGTAAGGAGTAACCCACTTACTTTTTAAATAGCGATCAAAAGTGCATGTTAATTAAAGCCAAAGTATTTTTTCTTTCTTTTTTCAGATTCATAAATTGGCTAGATATTTAAGGCAAGTGTGTAAAACGCTGTTGTTGCAGGCCTTATTTGAAGAGATATATGCATGTGCTATTGTCCGTTTCTACGAACTATTTCTAAATGCACTATGCTAGGTATATGTTACCACAGTCAAAGTCATTATTTTTCCTTACAAATACCCAGTGATCTGTGAGAGAAACTTTTTTTTAACTTCAGGATTCTGTCTTTATATGTACCAAGAAAGCCATGCAAAATTCAAAAAATCGTCCAAATGGAAGGTTGCAACATAGGATTTTTTGAGTGACTTAAATTTTCTACAAAAAGTAGAAGTCAGAATATTTAAAAAAAAAAATGTCGAACCTCGCATCTATTTTTAGTAACAGATCATGGGCAAATTTGTCGAAAATCTCACTAAATTATACGGATATTCATACAAAATGATTAATTCAAATTGTGACCTTCTGCCTTCAGTTTATTTTTAAACTTTTTTTTTTTTTTTTTAAATCAAGGTCTTATTTATACAATTAATGAAGAAAAACGTAATTCAAATGAGTTTTATTTTTTAAAGGTCTATTTATAGATCCTAAATCAATGATTATGTTTTTTAGCCATTTTTAGATGCTATTTTCTCTGAAGACCAAGTAAAAAAATAAATTAAAATAAGTGTAATCTTAGGTCTACTACGTATTGAAAATATTGAGCCTTGGAAATAATATCTACATGTTCAACATATGAAATTCCATACTTCGCAACATTTTCACATATTTTAAATAACGGTCTATTATCATATTTATAGCCTATTTCTTAAATATTTAAATGAAAAAAAAAAGATTCTAAATCTATTTTTTTTTTAAATAGGAATAACTGATTTAGATGCTTCATATAAATTTCTATTGTTATTTTAGCCCCCTGCAACCAATTTCCTTGATATGCATGTAAATTGTTATCTCCCCCATGTTGGAACTCTTTAGTACTATTAGGTAAAAATGCCAGGTATATTAACATGGAATAAAGAAGGTCATGCTTGATCATTTTATACATGTATGAACCTAGGGAGTTGTTGTGGAACATCATTGCACTATGAAATTGGGAAAAAAACACTCATTTTTAAGATCTTTAAATCCAAGGAAAAAACACTTCAGCTTGAACAAGCAAACAGTCTCTGCGCTAAGGTCTTTTTATGTTAAAATCTTTATTATATGCTTTAAAACATCGTAATGACGTTTTGTTTACTGGAGAGACAAGCAAACGGTGTGCATTAATGCGGATAAAAAAATCATCCTAAAACAAGCAAGGATAAAGCAAGTATCATGATACACGTCTACAATATTTCGCTTGTGCAAAGAACACATGAACATGACCTACCCACCCAGATGATGGCGGGGATGATGAAAGCAATTCCGCCACAGTCACCCCAACCATGCAGGAAGTCAAGGTCAGTCAGCCAGTAGTAACTAGTAGCCAGGGTGTCTTTGAGTCCCTAGCTCGCTATCCGGATAAGGCTTGGCTGCGGAATTACCAGTGACCGCACCCAGTAGTGAGGCTTATATACCTGTTCCATGGGGGGGGGGGGGGGATAGGGGGTATCATTGTCTCAAGGTCATTCCTTATCGTCTACTAGCTATGATAGTCTATGCTCCGGACTTCCGAGTACAATTACTTTGGGGTAATTTGCGTCAGGAGCGAAAGCCGATTCCCAGCACGGGCCAACCGGTCCCGGGTCATGTTGCGTAGTGCACCCGAGTGGGTACTTCCACGACCGCGCCCTTAGCGTCGGCGCATCCTAGTATCGCTAACTTGAGTGCTCAGGGCTCTGATCACTATGGTAGGTTGGTAGCGCAGTCTGCTGCACCAGGGGGTAGTCCCTCGCTCCGCGGCTAGGATAAGGCTATCCATAAAATATCAAACTGTTTCAACTTTAGTAATTTCTCTGAACTACTTGGATATGACGTCAGGTCACTGCATACTTGACCTGACATGACGGGGAAAGTGTCATAACTTTTACATTCTTTTCACATGACATGTCAAGATTTGTTTAGCGTTGTTGTTTGAGTCAAGTGCCTGGATTGTTCTTTAAGCTTAAGTGTGCTGTCATGATGTTGAACATTTGATTTAATATCGTTATTCCTTTAACTTGTCCGATATACATATATTCAAACAAAAACAAAAAAAAAGAATGATCGTGAAACGCTCCCACTTATACAGCCGTGTACAGAGTTAGCATTTATTTATCGTGTATATATTTGACTGGTACAAGTGATTAATAAGGATAAATTTAAGATATTCCTTCTGAATCTATAAGAGAAGTATGACCTCTTATTGAATTTTGCTGGGGAATTGTATGTTATTTATCCTATTTTGTATAAATTGCGAAAAAGAGTGGAAAATGTATGTCGATAAGTTGAATTTCTTGTGGAATATTTTCTCAAGAGGTAAAATTCAGACTTGGCCCCAGCACTTTACATGTACCAAAGACCACTGCGAATTAACTTCTGTGACAATTTTTTCTCAATAATGTTGTTATGCACTTGTGCCGATGCGATTTTTGTGCAATATGTAAGAATTTATAAGTGTCCGTCACGTGATCAACAGAGTCATGTGACATCACAAAAATGCATTATTATTATAATACCTGATTACACTCTAATCACAAGTTGACTGCAAATTCATACATGCATTACAAATTGAAATTAAAATTTCTCAAAATAAAATGTATATTTTGATGCATATTAAGCCTCCGGACAGCCTTAACATAGCTGCTTCGTTCCTAGCACAGGGGGTAGCCTGTTTCAGTTCAAGGTCATACGCTTATGACTACAGCCAACCTGACACAGTTGCCGAGTTTAATTTCCCCCAGGAACGAGAAGTTGTGTCAGACGGAATATTCCAGCTAAAGTCAAGTACAACGGAGATGTTGAATGGGGTCCGTTCTATGCAAAGTTTTCCACTATCGCTGAATATCACCAGTGGAGCGATCCCGACTCTCTGTTCGCCCCAAGTTTCACATTGAAGGGAGCCGCATTGAAATACTTTGATATCCTCAGAAGGCGAGGCGCGCTGTTAAGTTTCCGGGAAGTAGTCCTCCGGATAGAGAAGCTGTTCGGTAAGACTTCCCTCAGATCAGCCTCGCAGCTGGAATTAAATTCCATTTGCCATTTGGCGAACGAGACTATTGAGACATCGGGGGACTGCGTTATGAACACAGCCCAGAAAGCCTTCGGTAGCCAAACTTCGCCTGAGATTTTCCAGGAACACGTAATTGTTCGTTTTGCTTTTGTGTGTAATGATGGCGAGGCGGGGCAGCAGTTTAAAAATAATCCCCCGGGAACTCGGGAAGAAGCGAATAAGAGAGTTAAAACTTACCAGCTTAGTCGCAGAGCTGTTGCCCGTCGTCCGAGAGTTGTAAGATCAATGTCCAAAGATCGCGGAGATGACCTAAGTTGGTCTCAAGGTCATCACCGAGGGAACTTAGATTCCGAGTCTCGAGAATTTTTCGCTGAATACAGAGGACGTGAGAGAAAATAAAGCAATGAGACTATGGAGTACATCTTTAGGAGGGAACGGTCCTCCAAAGCCGAAGGAGCGAAGACCCGTGCCGAGTCACAGGACCGAGCCTCCACAAGGCAGTATCA